GTGTGTGTGTGTGTGTGTGTGTGTGTGTGTGTGTGTGTGTTGCAAAAATATCTAATGGACAAGTTGTAAAGAAAAGTGCACCAAGTAATTTTTAGCTGTACATGTAGAACTCATTAACTTTCAGAGTCGATCCAGTTAAACGTGGCCACCACAGCTTAACAACATTGAAGTAGATATAACTCAATCAGTTTTACAGATATTGAGCTAAAATTAGCTGTGGTAGTAACTGAGAGTCATTCCTACCAGAAGCTCTAAGCAGGATATTATATCACTCATTTCTAAGGTTGGACCAAAAACAAATAAAGCTTCAAATGTGACTCCTACACGACACATTTGCTTTTTGAGATTTATTTGTTCTTTTCTGGGATGTTTTGAAGGATCTGTCACACTAATGGCTCCCACTTTATCCCTCACTTGCAGTGTACTTTTTCCACTGAGCTTCGCCCATCATCACGGATGGATATGAACTTCAGTATAACATTAAACGGAAGAGAAATTATGAAAAAAATAAAATAAAAAAGAATTCCAAGCTCCACTCCTCCCTTTTATCAGCTCCTCTCGTCACTCATCCGACCATCCTGCACTTAAAATGTAGCGTTTGTAGGTGTCTCTCCGCTCTCTCTGTTCCCCTCCTCGTTGCTTTCCTTCAGCGTCCGGCTCGCTCCCTCCTGCCTCTGCACCTCATGCATTATTGACGGCTGCAGCTGGCAGGCCGAAAGAGGGAGGAAGTAAAAGAAAGAGGGGAGATAGAAAGACGTGAGGCTGAGATGTGAGAGGAGGTTGAACAGGAGTTTGCAGAATTTCTACTTCAGATGCGCCCAAGCTTGTTCATAATGAGCTTTTTCAGAGCTCCACATTTGTACATTGATACTGACATGTCTAACTGAAACACTTGTTGTCATCACTGCTTCAAGTCATTACTAAGATGTTAGATTAAGGATCCAGTCTTATTGTGATCATCTGTTCTGTTGCTGATAGATTTTTACCTGGTAGAATTTAGTTTTGTTTCTAATAATCTATTTAATTTCTGCAGCAGTGACGTGAGATGAGGAATGCAGAAAAGGGTCAGAAACTGTGAGGAATTTAGAAAACAAAAAAAGTGATTCAGGAAAATGTAGCAGATGCATTACAACAGCTTAATTCGAAAATAAGCTAAACGAAACGAAAACTAAGTTACTACTGTAACTAATGAGTTTTTCTGTAAATATGCTTAATTTGCACCTGGGTTTTTGTACCATATAGGGGTGTTAAGCTTRAATGGATAAACACACAAAGCAGCTTCTGACAGACAATCTGCTGCACGACTGACCTGGAGGAAAGACTCCAAACTCTGGTTTAGCCAGAGTCTCAGCCATAGACAGATGAATGTTTAGTGCCACATTTCAAATACGTCAGTGAAATTCTGTCCAAGCGTTTGCTGTTTTGAGTTGACCAGAAAGCCGGTAAATGAGGATTGTAGAGAGCCATGTGTCCACCTCGCCTCCTGCTGATTCACAGAAACATCCGTCACTGCAGCACGACAACAACCAGAATGAGGTGTTCGTTTCTAACCTGCATGGCAAACAGTMTCCATACTCGTGTGACGCGGCGTCTATCTGCCATTTCTAAACCTTACTGCCGATTGTACATTTTGTTTTGTCAAGTGGTTAAAGGACCTGTGTAAAAACGTCTTTCTGATCGGATACTTACTGCTTACGCAATGCTCACGAGTTTGCCAAAATTTAACAGAAATCACCTGCTTTAAAAAAATAAAACAACCTAATTTCCATTTAAAGACTGCAAACAGCTGCTCTCATAGTGAACCGTCAGAAACCATGTAGTATTGTTATAATAGAACCACATCTGTTCACATCTGTCAGCTCATGCTCCTGATTATGTGTTTATGTAACTTTCTTCAGGTTTGAGGGGCTTTTGGTTCTAAATGGAGCTCATTTCTTTTTTCTTTCTTTGGACTGATTTTGAAAGTTGTTCAAATAAGTGCATTTCTGCATAACTGTAGCGCTCAGTTTAAATGATCTGATGATATTGTGCAGCAATGTTATTAGATGATTGTTACATGAGATAAGGGGATACGTTGGGTGACCTGAAAATAATGATGCAACTGAAAACATTTGCATGTTTACCACTTTTGCTGATGCTAATAAAGAAGTTATGAACCAAACTGTATCCAGTGTTTTATTTCACTTGGTGTTCTTTCAGAAACCTTTTTCAATAACTACTCTGAAAAAAAAGTCCTACATTTTTATACTTGAATTGAGATTTTATGTTAAATGTAGGTGGTTGCCTCTCAGAGAGAAGTTTGCCAGATTGAAYCCCAGCCAGGGACCTTTCTGCGAAGAGTTTGCATGTTCTTTCAGTGAATGTTTGGGTTTCCTCCTACAGACCAAAAACATGCACATTAGCCTAACTGGTGACTCTGACAGCTGGGAATGGGCACCAGTGACCCCGTTGACCCTGAAAGGCAGTAGTGATTATAGAAAATGGGTGGATTTTAATATTAATATTTAAGGAAAATTTTGTGGCAGACTCAAATGTCACATATGTGCTTGACAAAAAGAATTAGTTCACTAAACCTAAAGATCACAAGACATGAACCCAATCCTAAAAACACCAACGGCTCTAAACCAAAATTAACAAAACAAAGATCCTAACAGACAAATCTGTGCAAACCCCTGCAGAAGCGAGCAGATGAAAAAAAATACAACCTTAAAAGTCTGTGTGAAGAAATTTAGTCTCCTCTTGACACTATTCCCAAGAYATACCTGAACAAGAAATGGGGTAATGTTGACAATAACTAAAGTCTTAATGAAAGCTGATGAACACATCTTTAATGTCACAAGTGACAAGACAAAGTACAGGAAAAAGAAAATCAATAATAAAAAGAGGCACATCATGAAAAAATGCAACATTTAAACGTACCAGAAAATAACAAAACCAAAAACCAACAACTCAAGTTTTAACTTAAATGCGAGTAAAAGTGAAAGTTTGGGTCATTTGGAGTTGGATTTTGTGGAAAGGTTATTTAGACAGCKCTTCGAAAAATCTAATTATCAGACAATCATTTACATCACATTTTACAGTTAAGAACAAATAGCAACAGCAGCTTGCTGTAGCACTGAGGGTGCTACTCAAAAGTCTCAAAGAACTTCTGCAGTATTTGGATTTTTTATWCATCGTTCAAGATTATATAAATGCCCAAAGCATTTACTGAAATGACAAATAAAGGATGTCTTTTTATAGATTTTTACATTTTTGAATGTTTGATTGATGGAGGATAGTTTTATAAAAGATCGAGGACCCAAACATTGCCATGTCTGCAAAATATACCTGAATAAATCTCACTTGCTCCAGTTCCCATTGTGCAAATAAATACCAAAATTTGCACTGTTAAAATAGATCATTTACAAACATTTCCCCTCAAATGTGTGTGTTCTTCCAGTTCAGCAGGACATGACAGTTAAAAACATGTTAAATGACACATGAAGCTGTTCTGAGCTCAGTTTCAAATAACGATGATCTAAGTTGAACCTATTTCATGACCTGATAAAAGAAAAGTACAGTGATGATGAGGAAACCCAGGACCCACCAATACGAATCTGCAGAGGGAAACAAAACACAGAAGAAGCAATAATTTTTTTTGCTTAAGAAACAAAAAATATAGTTTGGAATCACAATTCTTTCTCAACCTTCTGTTGAAAAGTTGAACATATATTGTTCCTGAAAAATAGCAATTTTCAACTTAAGATTAACAAAATATAATAGAGGTCTGTCAATGGTTTCTGTAACTTAAAATTATAATTTAAAAGATAAATATCCCTAAATCTGAATATATGAATCTAAAGCCTCCTCTTCTATGTTTGTGCTCCTGGTTTTGGATCCTAAATAAAAGTAATGCTCACAAAGGGTTGTTGTTCATACCTGGTTGAGGACTTTCCACCACTAAGCTGAGATTAAGCGGMGCATCCAGCGCCAGGTGGGACACCCTGCAGGTGACCTTTGTCCCCGGGGAGATGGTGGGGGGCAGAGTGAGRTGAGCTGACAGGGAATATGTCCCGTCGCCGTGCTGCCGATGGCTGCTTAAAGAGCCTTGATTTGGAAAAATCTGTGGCTCTGCATCTGTTGGAGAGAGATAAAACCACTCCATCTGAAAGACAGGAGAGCAGAACGTTACGACTGGAACTCAGGATTTTGTCATATTTGTAAGGAAACATTTTACATAAACAGCAATATGTTTAAGTAAATAACTGACAACTCATAAAAAAACTGTCTTATCTAAAACCTTATATATATATATATATATATTTAAAACCATAGATGCTTTTATTGAAACAAACTAGTAACAGCAAAGCATTTAGGTATTTCTACGCATATACTGTAAGTCAGTGTTTCCCAAAGTTGGGGTCGGGACCCAAAGTGGGGTCCTGAAACATCAAGGTGGGGTCCTGAAA